GGTCTGATATTTGTGTGTCATCATTGCCTTCTCCACTCCCCTTTTGTTGTTGTCCATTGTCATAAACCTCAGCTTCATTGACATAGTTTCTGTTCTGCTGTCCTTTGAACTCCTTGTACCATTCTGGTATCCCATGTATTTTGAAACATGTACTTGTGTTATGCCCTCTCATGCCACATTTTTCACAAATCAGTTTTGCCTTTTCTTCCTTGGTCATTCTGTGGAAGCCTCTTCCTCTTCCAGCTGAATCCCAGCCTTTACTTTCACAACCACCTCTTCCTTGGTTAAAATGAGTTCCTCTACCATAACTTGTCTTTGCTACCATTGCCATATTATCCATCCTTCCACTGAATTCATTTTGCACATTCCTCTGCCTTTCAGCTGTGAGAATCATAGAGTATGCTTTGTTGACTGTGGGCCAAGGATCCATCAGAAGAATCTGATTCTTTGCATTGTCATAGATGTCATTTAATCCCATCAGAAATTGAACTAACTTTGATTCTGAGTCCTGTTTAGCCACAAGTTTCCCTTTCTCACAGTTGCACACTTATAGAGGAACTATGCAAGCATATTCATCCCATAATCGTTTGAGCTTGTTGAAGTATTCCATTACAGTGTTGTTGCCTTGATTCAGTGAGTTAATCTCTCTTTGAACTTTATATCTCAGAGGTCCATTATTTTCCCCAAAACGCTCCCCTATATCCTCCCACAGTTCCTTTGAAGTGTCAGCATAAAGAAATGATTCAGCTATGTCCTTTGACAAGGAGCTCAAAATCCATGACAATACCATCCAATCCACCTTCTTCCAAGCTTTATATTCAACACTACCTTCATCTGGTTTAGCTACTTCACCGCTAATAAAGCCTAATTTCGATTTCGCACCTAGCGCGATAATCATCGATCGTTTCCAAGCTAGAAAGTTACTGCCAGTCAAAGGATTTGTAACAAGTACCATACCCGGATTTTCAGATCCATGGAGAGAGAGCGGATCCTGATTGGAGTTCACCATTGCTGTTTCTCTTTGCGCCATCGAAAAAATTAGAAAATCACGGCGTAGAAGGATCGATCTGTTGTGCGAAGTTTGATCTGAGTTGTGTGAAGCTTAATCGAAGCGAGAATCGAGATTACCAGGCTCGCCTGCTCTGGTACCATGTAAAATCTCAAAAGGAGCTGGAAAAATTTCTGTAAGCTCCCATTTTCACCAACAGATTTTTCTTATTGCATGAAAGAAAGAAAACGAGCTATTTAATAAGCTCATGCAAGTACAACGACAGCGTTTCGATCTCATATCATTACACTTAAAAGAACGACACCGTTTTGGACTAAAGAAGAAAAAAACAGAAAACCGAAAAAACTTAAGCTAGAGGCTCGATCACTCAAATATTCCAACATATCACATCAACTTTAATTCACTATTCATCCACTCACATAATTTTAACTAACCATCACTTCAAATCTCTCTCTCATACTTTTACATCAAATAAACTTTAATTATTTTATTTTAAATATTATTTTAATATACCCACTAACAACTAACCATACCACCTTTTTCAAAATTAACCAAACTAAACCAAAAAATCCAAACAAATCCAAAAATTTTTATATCCAAGCATCCTCTAATTCCAAAAGCGGTAGACTAGAGTGTTTGTAATCATTCAAAATGGTACTCCATATAACTACCATCAAGTCTTTATTAGAAAGCCAATTTCCTTCTGTGGAAGCATGCTCTCTTCACAATCGCCGGCAATGTTCTACAGTTTTTCATAGCAATGTCTGTAATTCCATTAATCTCTCTGATTCCCATGCTTGTATACATTTCAAAAATATGATTCTCAAGTTAATTACATAGCAGCTTCTTATTAACATACTAGGTTTGCTTTCTTTGAAAAAATATCTATTTAGTTTCTATCTATACTATTTTATTATATTATATTATAAAAGGAGGAATGATTTTGTCAAAAATTGCACTGACTAAAAAGTCATTATGTTTATATTATTTTTAATGCCAAAACTATAATAACCATTAAGACTATCTATGAATTATAACCACAATTAAGTATCTTAATAAAATAAGATTCTAACAAAAACGAAACAAAAATAAAAAACTAAACAAGATAGATTTATATAGTAAAACAAAATGTTAATTTATCAATACAGAAAAAATTAATAAAAGAATTGCAAACTATTTCAATAAGATTGAATTGCATTAAAATATATTCTTAAATAGTATGTGGAATAAATAAATAAGTAGGGGAAATACTATCCTCAATTTCACAACATACTTCAAATTCATAGCATACAATAATAAATAAAAAGTATTATAATATACATTTGTTACGATTGTAAATATGTATTATTTTCATATTACTCTTGTGTTAGGTTGTAATGAGATTTAATGTCTAGCTTTTCGGTCCAATAGGCTGTAAAATGGCCTGATTTCCTTCTCTATTAGGGCCTTGTAATTGAGTCCGTTCCAATGCACGACTCGCACACCATCTTCAACCAATTCTTGACCTTTTTTTTAATCTAATAATTAATTCGGGCACATTTCCTATTAATCTCAAAATAAAACATATTGCCATAACTTAATAAAATTTATTAAATAAATAACTAATTAGATATAAAACTAAAAGTAAACAGATATGAAAATCACTCTAAAATGTACATAAAATGATGTGTTCAAAGTTCAAACACATATCATTATTGTATAAACAAATTTCGTTACTATTGTATTTTATCACAAAACAAGTATTGATATGTCATGCTCATAGTGAAACACATATCATTATTGCATAAACAAGTTTCATTATAATAGAATTTCTTCACATAACAAGTATCATTATTGTGTAAACGAGTTTCACTATCATAGTATATAAAACCACATAACAAGTATAGTTATCGTTGTATTTAACCACATAACGATCATTCTTATCTTGATTTAGTTATCACTTATTCACATTAATTTATGTTACAAAATGAAACAGTAGTTTTATTGTAATAATATTTATTAGAAAAATTAAATAATTAGTGTAGTATATGTTAGTTAGTATATTGAAAGTTTTCCTTTAGCTTAAACCAATTTTCGAGTTTTGAATGAGAATCGAAATTAGTCAAAAGTATTTTTTTTTTATATATATGATTTATCAAAGTAATTATCTTTTAATGATCTTTGAGTTGATATCCATATTACATATATAAATACAAAACAATGAGAAATATCCATATAAACAAATTTTAAATTGATGTATCAAACTAAATAAAAATATATATAAACAAACTGCAAATTAACATATCATAAAACATTTATTTTAATAGAAACTAATATATATATAAACTAAGTATACATAAAATTAATATATTTTTTTTATAAAAATTATGTCTCAACCTTAATAAAAATCCAAAGAGACTGAACATTATAATGATATTAAAAATAAAAATAATGTTAATTATAATTAAAAAATAATAAAAATAATTATTATATTGCATAAAGTTTAAAAATATTACACCCATACACATTATGTTTTAAACTATTAAATATAATAAATTTTAAGATATTTAAAAATATAATAGATGAGGGAAGAAAATTATGTATATAAAATATTAATCTAACTTGAAAAAAATTAAATTAATTCAAAATAAAATTATTGTGTTGTAGATAATAATATATATATATATATATATATGTGTGTGTGTATGTGTGTGTGTGATATTAAAAAAATATCATTTTAACAAACCGAGATATTATATAAAATACTTAACTTTGTTAATTTCCAATTTATTAGTTTCATACTCATTTTTTTATCATTATATTATAAGAACATAAATTTCTCTAGTTATTTATTTTGATAAAAATGTTGTGATATAACCATATTACGGTAAACCGCAAGTGCAAGCAACTCGACCGGGATGCAAGTTGAGTTGTTGGATGACGACTTGAGAAAGCCACCGTGAGAACCATCAACCAACCGAGGTCGACTCTCTATCCTTCGCAGTCAGTCTCGCTTGTCTCGAGGGGCTCTTAGCTCCTCGATTTCGACTCTCCATTCGCAGTTGGCCTCGCTTGCCTCGAGGGGATCTTAGCTCCTCGATGTCGACTCTCCATTCCTCGAAGTCGAGTTTGCCCAACTCGATGACCTAAAATCCAGATTTTCTAGGATGGTGATTCCCTCTCGACAATCCCAAGTCGAACTCTTGCCTCTCGAGGTCAACGTCTCGCGTCTCGCTGCTCGAGGCACATAAGGTAAGACTCCACTGAGTTTTTAGCAAGCTTAATGGATAAGGGTGAATCTTTATAGGATAAGATGGAATCTCAAGCTGACTCAAATCTGACTGAGAAGTGAGTCGGATATGGACAAAACCGGGCAATCAGGCCGGTCGACCCAGAACGTTTTGGCCAAGTATTTTCCTCTACAAAAGGAGTTGATGTAACCCCAAATCCTAATTTTTACACTCTACACATTTTGATATCCTGTTGTTGCTGCTCTCTGCATAGCATCTTCTCTCTTCTTGATACTGACTTAAGCATCGGAGGCTCTACGTCGGAAACCCCTCCGGCGTGAGTTCTTGCATGTGTTCGTGGCGATCTAAAGGCAGTCCAGAGAGATCAGAGCTCATCTCAGCCGGTTTACTCTAAATCTAGGAGGAAACCCATCATGTTGTATTTTTATTTTAATGCACCCTTTTGTTCACATGCGTTATATTAGCTGCATAATAAATTAATTATTCTATTTAATCTTGAAAAAATGAATATATCTTAAATAAAATATATAATATTTCATACAAAATATTTTCTAGAATTTAAATATTATTAAAAATTCTTTTACTTTAATATCAATTACTTATAATTTCTATTTCATTTCATAATAAGAATTTTATTTATTTTCATTCTTTAATGCACAATTAATTTTTTCTCAAACACCCGTATAGTTCACGTTTTACTAGTGTAGTTATATACACCAAATCAACACATCGTTTTCAACTTTTTAAAGTCGCGCTTTACGATCAACTGAAACCAGACATATTGTAGAGGCCAACCGTAGGAAGGACCGACGTTCCCCGCCCCTTAATAGGTGGTACTCTATTCAAAATTCTGCTGCTGATAAGACAGAAAATCAGAAAACTGGACCGTTAGCGGACAATGTCTTCGCGAATAGGTATATAAAATTATATTATGCTTACAGAATCAGTTGAAATTTGGTTGCCCATTTTCACTGACAGCTTTATCTGGCGTGCAATTGCAGTTGAACTCTGGGCAGAGATACTTGAAGAAGAGGAACAAAATGAAGCCCCAGAGCCCGAAATTGCCGTAGTTTATCAGAGGCAAAAGACCTGTGTTAACCCTCAGGAAAACGTCTCGAGGTCTGCTTCTGTTTGGCTGCGATATTTTGTGCGATTTTTTCTTATTCCTTTTCATTTAGTGTGTGTTTTGTTTTCTAATTGATGTTAATGTTATATGTCTCGGTGGTTTATTTTCTTGACAGGAGGCAATCGAGCTCAAGTAGTGGGAATGGATGTAGGAAGAGTATTGCGCCTGTGAAACGTGTCAGTTGGAACCGGTCCCTTTCTACCAGGTGTGTCTCTAATTAGAGTGCTTTTCGTTGCCTTTTAAGGAAATCAATCTGTGCGATGTAAGAGGCCAAATGGGAGTTTTTAGTGGGAATTTGATTTCTTTTTCGAACAAATGGGAGTTTTTGTTTATCTGATCAGTTGGGTGAATCCCAAACTCTGTAGTTGATTTGCTTGCTTAAACATAGAACTCTATAGGGCTTATAAAGTAACGGGCCAAGGGAGTTTTGTTTACTTGCTATCTTTAATTTGTATACTTCCAATTTTTTATTTTTTTTAACTTTCTTTAGTTGTGCGCATAAGTACCAGGTTTGGAAATGCAAACTGTGGGCATTGCTATTCAAGTGTCATTAGCTAATCAAATTAGGGAGTTGAACAATGTGAATATGCAGTGCTGTTTATTAGAGTCCTTGAATCTATTCATTTACGTGTGTTTCTGACCATCTGATGACCACACATTGAATTCTTTACAGAAGTACAGAACGTTAAATTACAGTGGCTAAGCTGCAAATGCGTTTCGAATAAAATTGTAAGGAACTAAACAAGTTGGATTTTTTGTTGACTAAAACAACAATGTAAATTGATTGAGGTACTACTAAGTTCCATTGCTGGAGAAACTATGCGGACATTGATAGCATAAACCGCAATAGTGTGGGTGATGTTTTCACCTGAGGGTACTTTCGTTTATTAAGTTTCAAATATGGCCAATATAGACCAACAATGTTATATTTGTGGTTTTCTCGGGTGTCAACAAGTATCAGTGAAGGGTCTGAGAGAGAATGAGATGTCTAGTGTGTAACCTATTGCTAGTTGAAATATTACGTTTGTCAAAGTATCATCATTATATCATCAGTCATGTACTCTGGGTGCTAGAACCCCATAAACTCACCTAACAGTGTTTTAAGCACAAATGTGAAGTGGCAGGCAGAGCAGAATACATAAGGAAAAGTGATGAAAAGTAGAAGTTCAATTTGAAACAATAACCATAATATTCATATGGAAAATGAGAAATATAAATTTGACGATAAGAAAGATTTCTATTTTTTATCATGGTCAATAGATGAGTCTATTTTTTCAACTTTATCACATGGTTAAATATTATAGTTGTAAGCATAGTCCATAGGCACTTCTCTAGTTTGATGTAGAGTTCATTGTTGCAGAGGACTTGCTTGAAAAAACATGCTCCTCGAGTAAATATATTTAATAAACTCCCCCATCTCTTGAGAATCTCCTTGCAGCGAGCATTGTTTTCTCTTTCTAAAGATTCCCCGGGGAAAAGAGAGATGTCTCATAATTTGGTTGGACTATTTGTTTCTCAGTTGTATTTTTTTTTTTTTTTTTTTTTTTTTTTTTTGAATGCTATAATAATCTGATCAATTATAAGTGCTATTAATTTGTAGAAGGCAAAAGAATTGACCGTTCTAAGAGTTTAAGAAACGTATTTCCTACTGACAGAGGAAGAACAAGTATTGCTGTCACAACATATGCGGATCAACAACCACAACAAAGGAAGAGTAGAAGAAATGTTAAACCGCCTCTTCCCAGAGTATGGCTATATTAAGTTTCTACCTTTTCCATATTCACTCACCTAAGGGTTTCAGTTTTTGTCATTTGTTAGTCCCACTAAACATCCCCTTTATGATCTTGGCAGGGGAAAGCTATACAACCTCCCAATTATGATAAAGAAAGAGCATATTTTCAAGAGGTTGATGCCTTCGAATTGCTAGAAGAAAGCCCCTCTCCAAAGAAACCTGGCACTTGGACCATGGGCAACCAAGTTGACAATGCTGTAATACCACATTTATCTTCTGTATTACACAAATGGCTGATCTCCAGGAAACTCAACCACACATATTCATTCCCTGGATCGCTGTCCAAGATATTAGAGACTCCAGTATTATCCGAGGATCGTATTTGTCGTCCTGATAGCCTCTTAGGAAAAACAACCGGAAAAGACTCTGTGGGAGTTCATTCATGTTTGTATTCAATTCAGGAAAGACTCGAGTCAAGCTTGAATGATAAACAACTCTCTGCAATGCGTATTACGGAAGAGTGTGAGGATATTGAAGCTGCAGTTCGTAAACTCTCCTTGAGATCATCAGGGTCTTCATCACTGGAGGGCTGGAATTCTTTTTCAGCTCTTTTGACTGCCTGTGGGCAGTCAGTCCCTTCTACATTAACTGATATATTATCGAGTTACTGGTTGGTTTATCTCCTTATATTACTATGTATTTTTACTCGCTTCTTATGTTTCTTTGGTTTTGAAAATATTTATTTCTATCATCATATTCTACTGCTTTCCAAGGATTATTAGGATTATTTTGTGCTCCAATTACTTCCTGATCATGCTTGAAAACTTTGCTTCTCTCCTTCTTCGCTATTTGCCTCCTGTTAATTGCTTCCCATGCTAATTTCAAGAACAAAGAAATTTGACAAATTCTTGATTCCCTTACATTTTCTAATTAAAGGCTTACACTACTTGGGCTGCCTAAAGTCCAATCTCTCTAATTCACCGTCCTCCACAAACATAGTCGTTTGCAGTGTACTGTTAATGTAACATGAAAGTTCGCATAGGAAACTATTTGAATAATATCGATGCATTCTGACTGGGAATAATATATGATTGACAAGGGACACAGATTTATTCAAATGCAATTGGGGTCCATTTGTTGATTGATGCATCCTTTTTTCTCCTCCCTTCGACTCGGTTACTTTCAATGTCAAATCTTATCTCCTTGATTTTTCCCTGCATATTTCTGTGAAAGTGATGCATGTGGAAACAATTATCACTATAATGTTGTGGCATAATCTTTATTTCAATCTCTACATATTCCTCACATCCTATCTTTTCCTGTAAATCGAATGTCTGAGTTCAGTGGTCAAGAGACTATAACCAAGGTTGGTGAAGGAACGTATGGAGAAGCTTTTAAGGTTGGCAATAATGTGTGCAAAATTGTTCCATTTGGTGGAGATTTCAGGGTGAACGGAGAAGTACAGAAGGTATATATGTTGTTGCCTTAATGAACCTGGAAATGTACGAAATTTGCATTGATCTTTGTCAAATTCTCTGATAATATAATATGTCATTAGGTAACTTCACTAATTATCTGACTTTGCTCAAGGAGCCAAATTAAGTTTACTTGCTATGATAAAAATGTTTTTTGCCACTGAAAAACATGGTGGTTATCTGGTAAACGTTTTGTGGAACATGTTAAGGTTTGGGCTTGTCATAATAAGGTGACATCCAAAAGCATTTGATTATTGATCAAAGTGATGTCTTTGCAAATGCAATGTGGAAAATCTGAAACCAACTTTGTTATAAGGTCGATAATCTGGCAGTTCGTTTCCTATCTCTGTGATTTCGCAACTGACAATCAAAATGCTCATAGTCCTGTGTATTAGTTTTTTATTCAAGAAAACAATTTTTAATGTGTGATCATTTGGCTTGATGTGCTGAAGAAATCAGAAGAATTATTGGAGGAAGTTGTTCTTTCATGCACTCTCAATCACCTGAGGGGGCACAAGAGTGATGTACTGAATGCCTGCACTACATTCATACAAACAGTAGAGTATGTTTTCTCATCTCTCATCTCTGAATCAACTGAATTCTTTGGCCCTTCGAGTCTTAATGCTTCGTTGATAGTCATTATGTTGTTTTGGCTGCCTGTATCAGAATGGCTAGCTAGTGAGCCTTTACGCTTTTTTTTTTTCTTTTTTTTTTGGGTAAAAGAGATTGACATCCTACATATTCTTTCCTTTGTAGTTTGAGGGTGTGCAAAGGGTTTTATGACTCTGCTTTAATAAGTGCATGGGAAGACTGGGACGGGAAGCATGGTTCAGAAAATGATCATCCGAAGGATTTTCCAGCAGATCAGGTGTGCACTCGATACTCGGGGATAGATTATACATTGGAAAGTTCTAAGCCAAATATTTATTTTGTTAATCATTGGTGTGCCCATCTGAATTTGCATACTAAACCAGCTATGACATTTGCTTTCAGTGTTATGTTGTTTTTGTTCAAGAACATGGCGGGCGAGATCTCGAAAGCTTTGTTCTTTTGAATTTTGATGAAGCACGAAGTTTGTTAGCTCAGGTAAGGCCTCTGCTACATGCGTTGCTGTTGCATTAGTTTATATCTATATTTTAATATAGCCTATCTGGTATGCGACAGGTCACTTTAGCATTGGCTGTAGCAGAGGCGGCATATGAATTTGAACACCGAGATTTGCACTGGTATAGTTATCATATTTTCTGGGGAGTTGTGGTATATTTCTCCCAGTTGCTGTAATTTTTCATTTTATTATGTCATCTGGGGATTTCTTAAACAGGGGCAACATTCTTTTAAGTCGGAAAGATTCTGGTACTTTGCAATTCATTCTTGAGGGGAGAAAGTTACACATCAAAACTTTTGGGTTGGTCGTGTCCATAATTGATTTTACCCTCTCAAGGATTAATACAGGTTTAACTTGAACTTTTGTTTCAACAGTACAGTTCAGGAGTTTGCAGAAATTAACGTTGTAAACTATTTGGCTTAACAGGTGAAGATATACTCTTTCTGGACCTCTCGACAGACCCAGAACTCTTTGAGGGTCCTAAAGGCGATAAACAAGTAAGAAAATAGTTGAAAATGGTTGTCTTGTATGTTCTTTGGCCAATAATCTGAAATCTAGTGGTTTGTAATTATATAAATGAAGGCAGATACTTACAGGAAGATGAGGGATGTCACTGATGAATGCTGGGAAGCAAGGTAACTGTTACGAATTTATGTTTAACTTGCTTTACACATTAGTCAATGTATACAAGATGAAAATGCTAGAAACGGAAAATGATTCCCTTGCACTCAACCAAATCTTATTTGCTGATCGATTTGTCGATTCAAGCTTTTGATAGTTAGCTGTTATTAACTCAGCACAAAATCTGATCTGCATTTGTTTGTATCAATGTTGGTCCCGCTTTTTCTCATATGCCTGAACTGAAAGCTGGATAATCTAAATGGCTGAATTATTTTACAGCTATGATCATCTTTGTTCTTGAGGTTAGTTATTTCTTGGCTAATTTACAGTTTCCCCAAGACAAATGTGTTGTGGCTCCAGTATTTGGTCGACATTCTGCTCTTAAAGAAATCCTATGTAAGATCTTTAGTCCTTATTGTGACTACTGGCAGTAATGCAACTTTTTTGTTTCTTTTCCAAATCAACTAAACCTCTGGTTTTGCTCGATCTTGAACCTCTTCAGGAAAGAACCTCCAAGGATGAACGAGATTTACGTTCTTTCAAGAAGCGCTTAAATAGCTACGGTTCTGCCAAAGAGTGCGCTTCGGATCCGTTATTCAATGACCTATTGATCGCCGGATAATGAAGCACGACTTGAAGTGGTGCTTGACAAATGAAACTCTAGTT